TCAATGAACTGAATTATCTGAGATTAACCACATTTTTTGGAAAGCTGAGTTGAATTTCATATGCCACACCCAGGCCTGACCTTCTGTCAGACCTGCTGAATTAAGAAATCACTTAAATAGAACCTGCCTGAACAGTAAAGTAGGTCACTGACATCTGTAAGTCTGGAAAGAGTTATAAAACCATTGTGAGGCTTTAGTAAACCACATGGAGAAAACCTGGAACAATGATGAACTTTTCCACAAGTGGCCAGACTAACAAAACCAGTCCAAGGCCGCATCAAGAAATCACACAAGAAGTCCTAAAAAAGCCCAGATCAACATCTAAAGGACTGCAGGCCTCACTCGTCTTAGTTAAGGTCCGAGGATAATATTTTAGCCCAAAGCACAAAGACGACCAAAAACGGTTACAAAGGTTCATCTTAGATTTGCCAAAGAAAAAAAGACTTTAGGGAAAATATTCAGTGAAACTGAATTTTTGGAAGGTTTGAGTCTTATTACATCTGGTGTAAAATTCACACAGTATTTCATAAAAAGAAGATCATGCCAACAGTGGTAGTGTGATGGTCTGGGGCTGGAGCGCTAGCTGGAACTGATGGAGTGGTCTCGTCAAAGACTTAAATCTGATCGAGATGTCAAAGCATCTCAGGCTGTTCGTGCGAGAAAAGCCTCCAATGCGGCTGATCAAAGTCGCATGTTTCATTTAATCATGTTATCTCTGTCTAATATTAAAATTTGTTTGATGACATGAAACATGGCAGTGTGACAAACATGCGAAAAGAAAAGTTCAGGAAGGGGCAAAGACGTCTCTTTTCACCACATATTGAGAGCTTTGGTGAACAGATATAAAATATGAGTTCAGCATCTTCTCTCTCCACTCTGCGTTGTGTCCTCATCTCTCTATCTCTCGCTTTCCTCTGAGCTGCCAACTGGTCAGAGTAGATAGCTGTCCACCTTTTAATATGAAGAGAAGGAAACAGATGTGCTAATTCTGCTTTGGATCAAAAAGCTACGATATAAAAGAATACACATGATCATATTCAGAGGCAGATGGTCTATGAATGGCTTAAGACCTTTCATCACCATGTAAATATGTATGTTTGCATTCCTCTCATGTTCAGATATATAGACTAATGCAATACTTTTGTTATGAAGGATGTTATTATCAAAAACTCTGGTAAAAGCACTACAATCTGAAAGTTGTGACAACATGGGCAGCCAGAAGACCAATGCAGGCAAAAGAGGTGCAGCACAGAGACAGCGGACCACCAAAGGGTCGGACGTTTTTTAGGTAGAATGGGGCTCAAGAAGAGCCAGCCGTTTGCTGCATGCACTTGGAAAAGAGACGCCAGAAATAAAGATCAAACTGGAAAAAACACCAAAAAGTGATGGCAGAGAGTATTCAATCACATTCAACAGCTGCATGTAAACGCCTGGGAGGTATAAAGAGAAGTCATGGTGGGAAGTTCCCGATGCGGCATGAGCCAATAGCAGCATTTTTAGATCAACTAAGAGACGGTGTGTTGGAGCAGGACAGGAGCCGGCTGAAAACTCTGCTGCCCGTTGCGCGTTTGTGAACTCTAGAAACTATAAGTACAAGCTTCTAAGAGCTCTGTTTGGGTAATATAGTAATAACAGATATATTCTGGTGGGGCGCACCCACTCAGGAGAGTTTATGTGAGGAGAATGATTTGACATTCAATTCTAGAAGCCAATGAATTGAAGAAGGGGTTGACTTTTCCTCGAGCTACATGATGACAAACCTGCCATCAGCATTTGGGGTTTTTTGTCTGCTTGCTTTTAAATGAATAGAAAAATGATACATGCAGGGTCAAAACTATGCATAAAGTACACAATCGGCACTTTTCTAATTATTCTAAATATTCTTAACTATTTAAACATCTTTCAGTATCCTGCTCTGTCTGCACACCACAACCTGAGTTTGTCAGGTATCTGTTCTTTAATTTTAATAACGGTACAGTACTCTGTTTTGGTAACTATTGTCCATGATGTAAATATGTAAAGACTGTGTGTGCTTCTGTTCTGTGTCCTGTTCTGTTTGTTTACGTGTGTTTTTTGCTGCTGTTACAACCAAATTTCCCCCTGTGGGACAGTTAGAGGATTCTTCTGTTCTAAAGCACAACTTAGATCTGGTCAAATGTCCCTTTGGTAAGTTGCCCTTTAAATACATTTTCAGTAGCCGAGTTTTTGGATATGTTAGTTCAGTTTAAATGATTGTAATCCCTGCACAGACTTGATTTTTTTAAGTACTGTTGGGTTTAGTTTTTTTAACCTTTATTACGAAATAATAGTTGAGAGTGGACAGGAAAGCGACACTCGGGTCTCTGCTGTACCTTTGTGGCATATAGCTCGCTTGCTCAACCTTGTGAGCTACACGACCAGTTTCATTTTGGAAAGGTTATTCCACAACTTTAGCGTGCCTTGCTCCACAGCAGGTGTTTCTGCCTTGCTGATGCATGTATCATGCCTAGCAGCCGGTACAGTTTTCTCCAGGTTGAACGACTCACCTCGACTCCTTCAAACATTCTCACCATAAAGCTTCCCTTCAAAAATGACGTTTCTTTGTTCACATGATCACCTATAGACTTTATAAAGTGTCAGTTTTAGATGGTAGCCTCTCATTTAACGGTGATGTAAAACTTGATGGACAGTGGAAAGTGACACATGTTTCCAGTTCATGCCTGGCATGTGCAGACTGGTTTCTGGGCTGGATCTGAACCAGCATCTTCTCCACTGAGGCTGACAGTTTGGGCCTTTGTCGAGTGGCTCCTCCAACTCTTTAATAG